TTTTTTTTTTTTTTTTTTTTTTTTTCTCGTTTATTGGAGTATGGTGGTGCCTGAATGAGATTATGAATGGAGGCCGCGAGGTTAATACCAGAAAAGAGCTCTCTCTCGCACTTACACGCATACTTTGATTCGAAGTTATTGTTTTGAGATAGGATGGTATTTGTCTTTTGTATGCGCAGTCTATGGTTTTGCCTATTTATGTTCTTGCACTGAAGGGCTACATTACTGATCAAGTATAATTTCAACCTCTCTCTCATTGGATTTGAACTAGGAGGAGAATATCAATTCTAAGAGGAATATCTGGGGTGAATTCTTTCATTCTAACCAATGTCTTAAGAAGGATTAAGGCGGTCTTGAGTCTTTTCCTCTTGAAGAGTCTAGGTGTAAGCCTCGAGGTGGTATGAGGTGTAAGCTTCAAGTATTGCTAAACATTACAGTCATATAAAAGTTTTTAAAAAAATGTTCAAATCGTCACTATTCAATCTTTTATTTTTTTCGAAGAATGAAGCAAATTAATATTATTCTTCTAAGAGGCATAGGGACTTTAAGCCACTGCTGCCTGCTTACCTGGGGGGAGGGGGGTGGAATCATTATCCTTTTCTCATTTAATATTTGATAGGTATTCTTCTTTCGTGCACCATTGAAAAGATGTGAGGCCCACATTGGATCAAAATCAAGAAAGTGATTAGTAGCCTTGTTCTCCAACCATGTTTATATTGAATCTCGAAATCATATCCAAGCAGTATACTTAACCACCTCTAATGCTCGGCATTAACTAATCACTACAAATATTTGAACCTTCGCTCTTGGAAACTGTCTCCCAAGGAGATAGAGCATAGGCCCACCAATTCTTCCAGTGTAAGTTAATTGAGTTGATGACTTCTCCTTCTTCCTATCAGTGTATATAATAGCATATTATTTACTGCAGCTTTGCCCTTTTATCTATTTTCTTGTGCTGATGACTAGTTAGACCCTCCACGATATTCTTGGAACGTTTCCTAGTAAGCTAGGGTTGATGTTTTATTTTTTAATAAGTGGGAACTTGTCTGATGTCTTGAACTGATGAAAGTATGTCACTACATATTTGTCTGTCTTTGATATATTTGTAATTAAACCTTATGATACATGATTGTTGAAAGGTTATGCTGAAATCTGGAAAGTATGAGCAAGTTCACATGCTCTTTACAAAAATGAAGAATAGTGGATCAACACTAAAGGCAAATACTTACAGAGGTAGTTTCATTTGCATGTTTCTACAAATGGTGGTTGTCTGGACCCTTGACTTGATATATCTCTGACTTGTGATTGTAGTTCTTGTCAAAGCTTTTTGGGAGGAAGGAAATGTCAGTGGAGCTATTGAGGCAGTCAGGGACATGGAACAAAGAGGAGTAGTTGGATCTGCCAGTGTCTATTACGAACTAGCTTGTTGTCTATGCTACCATGGGAGGTGGCAAGATGCATTAGTAGAGGTGGGTTCCTCGTCAATATATATCTTACTTATTTAGCATATGGCATTTTAGGACCTTTGTTAAGAATCGTTTCTTTCTTTGATTCTAGAATCTATACATCCTGGCTTCAGTGAATTTATGTTCGACCTGCAATGATGGTTTTCTTTTCTTTCTTCTTCTTCATGATTCTTGCAAATAAATCTTTCCAAAAGGGTTGCAGCGATGTTTATAACAATTTAAAATCTAGGCATTATAATTATGCATTCAAATTTTGTGAAAAAACATCATCATATTTAGATTGTGTAACAATTGGATGTTGCACAACCTTGATTGTAACAATAGCAGGCTTGGAATTTCTTTTCTCATTATTAAATGTGGCTGCAGGTGGAAAAAATGAAAACACTATCACACATGAAACCTTTGGTGGTGACCTTTACTGGCATGATCTTATCTTCCTTTGATGGTGGACATATTGATGATTGTATATCTATTTTCGAGTACATGAAGCAAAAATGTGCACCAAATATAGGAACCATAAACACCATGCTTAAAGTTTTTGGTCGAAATGATATGTTTTCTAAAGCTAAAGATTTATATGAAGAAATAAAGAGAAAAGCTGATCATTCCTCCCAGAGTAGTGCTGTTTCTTCTATAGTCCCAGATCAATATACGTATGACTCAATGCTTCAGGCAGCTGCGAGTGCACAGCAGTGGGAATATTTTGAGAATGTATACAGGGAAATGGCTCTATCGGGATACCGGCTTGATCAGAGTAAGCATGCAATGCTACTTGTGGAAGCATCAAGAGCTGGGAAGGTAAAATCTATTTTTATTTCATTGATCTAGATTCTAGAACCTTTAACCTGTACGATATGCAACTCAGTTCTTGAAAACTGCATGCTAGTAGAACGCGTCAGGTGTTTGGTTATTTCTCGACATTGACCTTTTAATTTTATATCTTCCTTTATTTGTTGTGAAGTTATTCTTGAATAGATGGGCACCTGAACTAATATGCTTCAGTTTATCGATTTCAGTGGTATCTTTTAGATCATGCATTTGACACAATCTTGGAAGCTGGACAGATTCCCCATCCACTGTTGTTCACAGAAATGATATTGCAACTTACAACTCAAGATAACTATGAGCAGGCTGTCACCTTAGTTAGGACCATGAGTTATGCTCCATTTCAAGTAAGTGAAAGGCAATGGACAGAGCTTTTTGAAGGTAACACGGACAGAATTTGTTGGAATAACTTGAAGAAACTGTCGGATGCTCTTAGCGACTGTGATGCATCGGAAGCCACAGTCTTGAACCTGTCGAGTTCGCTGCAATCTCTTTGTAAACGTGGCATACCAGAAAACGCCTCCCAGTCTATAGCCAGTGACCATGATACAACGGATGGACTACAACTTCCTGGACCTGAAAACATGAAGAATATGAAGCTTCACCTAGATCACGCCACTGATTGTTGTGAAGGGTCATTGGATATTATTCCTGTTAACCATGCAAGCTTGAACTGTGATTCAGAGATGCCCCCTTGGTCACTGAGTCTTTCTGATGGTGTTTTAGAAACTGGCAAGTTTTCAGATCGGTCCAACAATGAGCGCTCAACTTTTGATTTGCGTGATGACAGCGAAGATGATGAGGAAGAACTTAGCATGTTACTTGATGGATTTGATGATTCTTATGATTCAAACTTACCTTCTGTCGATGAAATACTGAAAACCTGGAAAGAGGAGAGGAAAAACGATGGGTTATATCTCCACCCTTAAAATAGCACACTTAAGTAGTGTCTTGTTTATTGTCTGTATATGGTAGTACGTATTTACACACTCTGCATATCCATAGCTTTAATAGTTAATATTGAGGCAGCCTTTTTCCAAAACGCAGGAAAGAACGTTCTACTGGTAATCATCCTCCCTCCCAAATGGAAGAGTATATGATATAATAAAATATATAATATATAGTCTTAAGATTGGACATTTAAAGGGTAACCTGGACTTTTCCATTATTTTTTACTATTATTCTTCAAATTCTCAAGTAGCTTCGAGGGTGCCTAATGGAAGGGGAAACCCTAAGGAATGCCGATTAACCTCGGTGCTTTGATGAAGGACGATTCTCTGTGACTTGCCAATATCATAATTGACAGTGTCCGCCAGTAACCCTAATTCCTCGAAATGTCATCAATTGCCTCTAAACTTCCGGCCAAAGCTTCAGTGAGACTTCTCACTGTCGCTTCAAGACCATTGCTAGTTCGCTCCCTCAGCACCGTCTCCGAGGAACGAACCCAGAAACTCGAGAGGATCGCCGATGAGATGCTCGACCTTACTAAAATCGAACGGCACGACTATGCCATCCTCTTCCGGTTGAAAATGGGGTTAAACAAGTACGGGCCTGCAGTTTCTGGGATAAGTGGAGCAGGTTCAGCCGCCGCTGGATCTGCCTCTGCCGTAGCAAAGGAGGCTGAGAAAACCGTGTTTGATATAAAGCTCGAGAAATTTGATGCGGCGGCGAAGATCAAGATCATAAAGGAGGTAAGAACGTTCACTGATTTGGGTCTGAAGGAGGCTAAGGATTTGGTGGAGAAGGTGCCCGTGGTGCTCAAGAAGGGAGTAACGAAGGATCAGGGAAACCCAATTATTGAAAAGCTTAAGGAATTGGGAGCTACTGCGGTACTGGAATGACTGTTTTTTCCCCCTCGTCATTTCGTTTGTTCGTTCTGGAGTAGAATAACGCTGCCACTTGTTTGAGTTCTCCACTGGATTTTCAATGAGAATCACTTCATTTCTGACGTTCTTAGGCGGACCTGAAGAATTTAACAAATTCATATTCCTCATGTAAACGAAGAGCATGAATCTGTTCTAATAGCTCTTCCTATCTTTCTCTACTCATGTGAAATGTGATATATGCTTTTAGTTTTGCAAAATTTCCTTGAGGTGAGCCTGAGATTGTTGAAGAGCAATGAAAGAATTCTCATTCCGCTACTTCCACCGTGGCCTTAATATGTATTGGTCAATGGCAATGGATGCTTTTTATGGGTTGTTCTTAAGTTGCTGAAGATATACTATCATGCTAATAGCCCTCCATTGTGTGGCATCCTTCAGAATCAAAGGTGCTTTTAGAAACCCATGTTTATAAGGAATTTTTTAGAGTGAAAGTGGTGCATTATCCATCTGGTCAATTAATTTTACTAATAAATTCTCCCCTTGTTTTCCCTCCACAAACGAATTGGACCTTTCGAATACAATTCTAGCTGCCAAATTAGGGATCTTATGGAAGCTTTAAAGAACATCCTCTTAGTCTTGAATTTCTATTACTTAGTATATGTTCAAGCTCAAATCATGGTTTTATTAATCTTGTAGTGTCATGGTCGATTGCTGATCGAACAAAAGTATAGCAATGAGATTTCTTTTTTCATCACTAATAAATGGTAGTGGTCATTTCCTCCAGTTGAGGAGGTTCATACCTGCAGAAACGCTTCGCTCAGCAATTCAGTTGTCCTTTATTTTCCAAAACCGCGATTATACCTGCTGGACACACCATTCAAGTCAAGATGTTAGCTCTTTCGGCTGCTCTGTCTTACCTACTTCAGTGATTAGAATAATAGAGAAGGGAGAGATCTAATGAGAAAGCACAATTGGGTTGAGAAACTTCTTCCCAGTTGTGTATTGGGTGAACAGAAAATCTTAATTTACAAGTTCGATTTGTCTTAGAATCATCAAGACATGTCGAGAAAACACCCTTTTTAAGATTAAGTACGCATCTCTCTCTCTCCAAAATCCTTTACTCTTTGTTTGATTTGAAAATCACATTACCGACATACACTTCTGATGATACGATCCCCAGAAGCCGTTTTTCTCACAAGGCAATCATATTCTGCAGATTTACAACGCTAACAATATCTACAGTTTAGTTACAATCACTTGCACATGGAAATGCAGCAGCCAGCAGCACCTTCATCTTCTCAGAATACATTGCCTACAGTTGTCATTGCAAAGTTTTGTTATCTGCCAAAATAAAATAAAAGGGAGCGAAGAGAAAAAGGTCAAGTGACAGAAAAATCAACAGGCTTGAATTTTCCTTCTCATGGTTGTTTCGTAACATACAAGTCCAATAATGCCAGACATCAATGCAATAAAAGCAAGTGCTAAATGATATACATCGCAAGATGGTGAACATGGTGAATAACAAAAGATTTTCATTAAATTTATAACACAGGTACATATGTGAGTGTACAGTGTCCTAATTAAACAAGATATGCAGGAGCATTAAGTACGTAGTAATTTATGACTGAAGCAGTGCGTTGCATTACCTTGGAGAAGAACTTTCTGAACAGGACTTCTACTAGGGAATGTTCTGCACTCCAACGCCTTCATTGCTGCTTCAGCAAAAACTTGTGCTGATTCAGCTTCAGCCTCTGCTTCTTCTGCTTCCCTTGCTGCCCTTTCAGCCTCTGCAATGGCAGCCTCTGCCTCAGCTACTGCACGAGCAGCAGCTATAGCTGCTTCCTCTGCAGTCATTACCTTCATCTTTGAAAGTTCCGAGTCAACCTGGGATTTAGTGATGATTTTGACTTCACTCTTCTCGGCCTTTGAAGAATCCAAGTGCTTGTTCTCAAGGAGTAACAATGGAACATTTCTTCTTCCAGATAAGGCAGAACTTGGAGCAATTCTGTACTTATGCTTTACCTACCCAAACAAAATCCATATAAATGATCTAATAGCAAATTTCAGCATTACCATTCATTTGCCAGCGTCAAGTCCACCATTTTCTTTGTGATTTTTTTCTAACGAATTCAGTATTACTTGCATCATAATTTACAACGGTGCCTTGAGTTATCAATATATCGGACTTTTAACTTATCAGAATGAAAAGGAAAATAATACTCTAATTTGAGCATAATAGATCATCCTCCAGAAATATTTTCTGAAATTGTGCTTTCAATGAAATACTCTAGCATCAGGGTCCATTAAACCCCTCCTCCATCACAATCTGACTAAGCAAACTCTTTTTGAAGATATTTGATACTAGTTATGGTTCCACAACAAATCCCGTTCAAAGTTGAGAGAAACGAGACCAGCCTTTAAATGTAGAGCCACAATTTGGACAAAGTAGGGACACATAAAACAATGAAGGCATAGCACTTGTAGCTGGCAGAGTCCATCGATATGCCATGTTACACATCTAATCCTCCTTGGGAAAATGGCTGCAAAAAATTGGTGCAAGTTTCTTATTTGATCACTGAACAAGAGAACGCCGTCTATAGGGGGATAAGTTCAGGAAAAGGAAAACCAAGCACCTACTACAAAGCTTCCTCTTCTTATGGTCTTCACACATATTGGGCTGGGCCTGGAATATAACATATGTCACACTTTGAGAAGAAGGGCACAACATAGGTGAGGATGTATTCGCCTGTTTTCTATACTAGACACGTATGGGGTTATAGGTAGATTGAGATGTCACCTATCACGAGAGATGACTCCTCCATACCTATTAGACTTCTCCAAAGTCTGATATATACGAGGGCACCCCTACTTATGCGAAAGAAGCACAATGACCACATGGATCTTAGAAGTAGGAAACGAGAGACTAAGTGTGCCCTAGAACCCGTATACACCTTGATGCCACTTACATCCTTGGAATAGGAGTACGTAGGGTATATGAACCTTAAGAGCCTGAGAGGACTAGAAATGAACCCAAGTCATGGAATTGGCGACTTTAGGATTCTGATTGAGCACATAGCTTAAGAAACATTGAATAGAAGAAGTTTCTATGAGAGCCTATATGTAGAATTTGTATACTCATTTCCCACGACAGTTGAGGACACGACCGGTGATTAGTATAACGTAGAAGTTGTTGTGGGATCTAGAGGGGTTTATTTAGGGTTTGTAAAGGAATGAGGGATGTGGATATTTTGGAGTGAAGCTGAGGCTTGTAGGAGAGAAAGTTGGCATTTCTCAAATGTGCCCGAAGTTATCTTGTTCTGTAGAGTTTTCTTTGTGATTTCTATCTTGATTTCCTTTCTTAATTGTAAGGACGTGTTGAATCTCTTCATTATAGGTTAGAAATCGCAACAGTGATTGTATTCCCTGTTTTCATATATTGTTGGGTTTTTCCGATTGCAGGGAAGAAGATACCTAACACTAATTTCATGACTTGCCAATGTAAGGACTCCATTCTTGGGATGGCAAGCACTGTTGCGATTAGTTCTTTTACATACACCAAGGCTGCCCTTGCTCCTCACTGACCCAACGCTTAATGAAAAAAGAAATAGGTTTTTAGTTTTGCATTAAAAACGCCACAACCCCCACAACGTAGGACCATCCTCAACAACAAACAACCGCTCAATTTTCAGTAAAAAAGGAACCAAGAAATTTACCATGGATCGTTTTAGCTACTGACAAGCTTGTTGGTCTTAGGCGTATCTATGAACTGGTCCCTTTTCATTAGTTCCATGAGTGGCCACCAAATGTGTCCATTATCCTTTATAAATTTTCTTTAGTACCTAGTTAAACCAAGAACTACGCTAATTCATTCGACATTCTTGAAACACACGAAACAAGCAAGGATTGATTTTTGTGCTGATCAGCTGATACCCCATACTTCGTATTATATGACTGAGGTACTCCAGATCCATTTAGGCAAACACACATTTTCTGGAGGTCAGCATACTGCCTTTGATCATGAGGCAATACATCCAAGTGCTGGACACAAGAATCCAGACTAGGGCTACAAACCAAAATGCCACTAAAAAATACACAAACAAATCACCTCAAATAACACCTCGTCATCAAGCATGACCTGTCTACTAAAGCATGGACTTGTGTCCCATTGATAAAATCTCAATTCAAAGAATTTGTTTCCCCAACCAAACAATTTCAAGAACCGACTGCCAAGAGGATTACTCAAACAGCAGAGGTCACACGATTTTGAGTGGTTTGCTCCCTCCTACTAGCAACTAGAACCGGCTTACCCCTTTCCCCATCCCCTTTTGATTTATTTCTTTAAATTGTAGTTTCAAACCTTACTTTCCCCCCAGACATTCCACACGAACAGTCCCCATGGACTGACACACTCTCATGCATAAAAGTTCAAAAAACATCCTTCCAATTACCCTAACTATTCTATAATTCTCTAAGCCACTGCTCCTTCACACCTTCCTCCTAGCAAAGACATTAGCACTGGCTTACCAGTCATATTCAATTAGCTTTATGGCTCAACAGTCTCGAGACTTGAAAGCAGCTAGAATAATTGTTGCTCCATACAATTTCTGGATTACAGTAGGAGAATTACCTTTATCAACTTTCCATTTGCAGTCATATGCTTTAATTTTGTTGAAAGGAGTTTTTTAAGGTTTGGTGGGGCCCAGTAATGTTCCTGCACAAAGAACAAATGAAAACTTCAAATTTTATAGAACCATTTTTGTCAACAAAAAACAATCATGTAGACGCATCAAGGTAAGATGGAACTGAGAATTGCATAAACTAGGGTCAAAATTTTCTGCATTCATCTATACTTGTTTACATGTGTGACTTCAAATGACCAGAGTACGCAATTTGATAGGAATTTAAATTATGAATAAAAAAGACCCAGGAAGAAAGTATATAACTAAGTACCCAATCTTAGAGATGATAAAACTGCGTGAAAGAAGTGAATTAGATAAACAAGAGGAAAACCTTTTCGAAATCTCCTGGGTTTTTGTTAGATGTCTTATCACTCTTTTTGTTCCTTTCCTCCTCTTTTAATGAAAAGCTCTTTCTTATTTTAGACACACACACACACACACAGAGGCTAGCATGTAAAGCTATAAACAGATAAATAAATCACATTTTAGTAGACTTTTGACTGATTGGCATCCTTCCACAGAAAGAAAATGACATATAACAGGAGGTCATAGAAATTACAACACTACGGTCTTGATAATTGTCCATTCTGCGCGCAAGAAATAATGAAGGACACAGCAGTGAATACTAAGGTAGGCAGGAAAGGTAAGATCTTTACTGAACATACAAAATTGCAAACATTTGGATTCAAATGTGTTATGCATTAGCACCTCTATGTACAGAGCAATTGCAGCCCGGTCAGAACCTCTTGGCTCCTTTAAGTTGTTAATTGCCTCTGATATAAGTCTGTCCAATCTACACCATGCAAAAGAGGTCGTATAAATCAATTCAAAATCAGGAAAGGAAGGATGAAGCACCTGCAGCGTCCAATGAACGACTAATTCTAGAGCATGCTGCTTAAAAACCATGTCTGATGGATAAAAATCAATTTGACAATTATATTTTTCACATGCTGAATGGAGGTGAAAGATCACTTAGATCATTAACGTGTCATTTCTTAGCTCAAGATAACTACCATAGAGGCAAGATGTAAGATTATAGAGCCAAAAAATATCTCTTGTTCCCTCATCTGATTACAGGAAAGCTGAACAAAAAAATTGAAGAATTATTGCCTCCAAAAAAGATAAGGAAAAAAAACTAAATTTGAGTGGCACTAAATGCAATAAAGCCGAGGGGCATGGTAATGCATTAGAAAAGTTGTACTTGTGTGTGTGTGTGTGTGCTCATGCTTGAGGCAATGACTTCTCATTGTAGCATCTTTGGTGCATGTCATTGGCTAAAAATTATTTAATCATTAATCATCAATTTACTGTGAGTTCAAAAATGCCAAGATTTACTTTACTAGAAAATTTAGCTAGCTATGCGCTATGGTATTTGCTATTTTTAATTAGACTATGTGAACCCAAATAACAATTGGTTATGCAACAATCACAATAAATATCTGACTATTTCACCCTGGAACAAAAATGATTCACATGACCAGCTGCCATGAGACCTTGCTAGTGGCTCTTTTGGGCCATTAGTGCGAGTTGTTCCATTCGAAATTGCAAGTGGCTTAGCGTCAACAATCTCCTCATTCTGAAGCACGGTGCTTAGAGCCATAGGATTATCATGATGTTTTAGGGCCAAAGAATTCTTTTTAAGTGCGAGCTTGGCTTTTTGCCTAGACCCCCATATTGCAGTAACATTTATATTTCTCCACTTATCCTGTTCAGAGCCAAAATTAGATTGAAAAATAATTAAATGTTTCAGTAAACCAAGCACTGTGTTTCCAAGTAGAATATGAAAGAAAAACTCAACATGGGATGCTTGGTGAATTTCTACATCCTGTGACTCAATTACTCTGGTGATTGAACAAGAACTAGGGGGCGGGGTGAGGCACCTTGAGATCCACATTTGAGCGTTGATGCAAAATTGAGCTGAACTCAGGATCCGTGAGTATTGTGCGCCATTTGCCTGCTCCATGCTTGATCACTCCTGCTTTAAGGGCAGCTTCTTCTTCAGCTGTCCATTTTTGCTTTGGCGCACCCATTTGCAAATGTCCACTCGACACTGCAACAATTTTTGCAGCATTTGTAGCGTACACCATTAAGCAATCAAATCAATTCATGGAAAACATATCACTGGCCAGTAATTAATTCCATTGTTTACAAGAAGGAAAGAGTTTTCAAAGTACATGAAATTGCTCATAAGAGGTTTTCAGCGCAAATTTGATCGATTTCAGAGCAAAAAGAACAAAATGGTCAATCAAATGGATGAGTGGGTAGACAAAGCTTTCATGTAAAAAATGTTTCGTCCTTCATGGAGGAGGAAACATGATTTTAGCACCTTGTAAAGTTATTGATCGAACATAGAGAGTTGCAACATTATTTCTACCCAGTAATTCAAATTGCTAGACATATCTAATCAATTTTCTCTCCGAAGAGGTCCGAGATTGTTGTGCCTCAAAAATAGTTCGATTTCCACCGTACAATTCATTGAAACTGAAAAACGCAAAACAGATACTTGAACAAACAGAACTGAATCAAAATTCTATATCTTCTTACCTTACAAGAAAATAGGGAAGAACACAATATCGTAGCTGGGTTAACTTTCGAGACAAACAAAGCCCGCTGCTTAAACCATTTTCTGTCGTTCAGATTGTCCTAAAGATTTCCCAGCAATTTGCGAGTGCGTGTCCGATCGGAAGAAAGATCCGCCAAGAAGTGGGCAAATTATTTTGACGACGAGAAATTTAGCGACCACATCGTCGAAACTACACGAATCTTGGGAGGAACAAACGATAGAAATAAAGAATGGAGCGGAAATTGCTTTCGAGAGCAGAGAAAAAAAGGTAGGAAATTGAAATTGGAACAGTATCTATTTATCTGTCATAATAATTCAATCAGACCCTCGTTTGAAGCAAATCACTGCCAATTGGAGTTAGCGGGTAAAGTAAAGCTGCATACCTCCAATTGTCGATTAAATGTATATTATAACTACAGAAACGCATACAAATTAAGGAAACTAATTAATAAATTTTTAATCAACATTTGATGTTCTGACTTTGTATATCATTTCATCTTGAAAACAGATTGGAATGTCGGAGTGACAGATATAATGTTGGATATGGAGACAAAGTATACTATGGAGAGCTAGTGGATGATGGTGTAGGAGTGTCGTAATATTGTTGTGTAGGCTAAAAAAAATACTTGTTATAACAAGTTGTAGCAGGTCCAACCCCACTGTTAACAGATATTGTCAATTTTTTTCCATCACATATTGTCAGTCATCAGCCTCACGATTTTAAAACGTGCCTACTAGGTAGATGTTTCCAGACCCTCGTTCGTCCCCTCTAACAATAGCTACCTCTTTCTAGAGATTTAAAATAAGAAATTGTAGGTGAGGTCTAAGGCAGAGTTATATGTCATCTTATTTGAATGAGAGTACTCTGTCTATTGAGAGTTTTGTCGAGTCGAATTCTAATACAACACAAACGTAAGAACCTTTAATAAAATTCAATTGAACGTTACATCATTCTATCGATTTTTTTAGATCCGTAAGCAAATGTTCAAACTCTATACAACTAATTTTTTCACTAAATTTTAATGGCACGAATCTCGTTATGCATGTCCGCTCAACAATACATGCAATGTTATTTTCTGTAATGTTATACTGTGATGTTATTTTGTAGATAAATTTATGTCGTGAAATTTTAAAGGTGAAATTTTATGATTAAATTATGTCACAATTTAACTAAATCTAAGAATTAAAGTTTGAAGTAAATAGTTACTTTAGGAGAGTGATTTCAACCAACTTATAAACAGACCCTTTTTTGGTTTATTATTAATTATTATTTTATCTTGCTTATTTTATAAATGTTTTCGTATTATTTTAAAGGCGCTCGCAGATGCATTTTCGACAAGTTTTGAAGAAAACAACAGCGTAAATCTCTTCTCCGTCGTTCGGAGTATAATCGAGTTGGAACTGTGTTCGTAACGGGGGACGAGCTAGACGGAAAACTAGTTTTCGCGTCCAATTTTGTTCATCGACGGATGGCTAATTCATTGCAGCGGATCTGGAGCAACAGTCGTGCTATTCGTGGTACTGTGGCTCCTCTCTGCAGGTCATTTTCTTCCGATTCCTTGGTTCAATTGAAGCCCGGCGAGATCGGTATGGTCTCTGGAATTCCAGACGAACACCTTACCAGAAGGGTAATAGCCCAGGCATTCATTTTTATCAATGAGTTTCTGATTGCTTGCGTTTTTGTTTAATTTCGAGGGATCGGGTTATTGGATGGTAACGATGTTTTTTTGGGGATTAGGTATTCTTATACCCGTCTGATTGGGTATTCTTGCTTGCTTTTAGCTGGGCCTTTTTTGAATGGTCTGCAGTGGCTAAACCCATTAGGTGCTACTTTGTTAATACTATGTCGAAATGTAGACGGTTCCGATAAGGAGATGGAAATATCCGGTTTATTTTTCACTACGACATTACCATTGGTGTTGATAGTCTACTGATACCCAAAAAGTTGACTAAAATAAGGTTAAAGTCTGTAGGAGCCCAAGGTTCAATCACAAAGAACAACTGCACATTTCGTTTTTCGTTTTTACACTACTGTCTATTGCTATCGGTTGCCCTCTCTCTCAAGATCCTAATCAGTTACTTGGCAGAAATCTTTTTTTTTTTTAATGTTGATTTAACAAAAGGCTTGATCAATAACTATCTCACAGTCTCTTTAAGTATTCAGGACCAATTGTTGAATCATCCATTTTTTTGGCATGAAAGGCAAGTGTTTTTTTTTTTGTTTCTTTTAAATTTTTTGGACTATTGAACTTTGTCATGTATTGAGGTTTCATCTTGTGATTCTAATATGCCGAGCCATGGCATTGAATTTTCCTGTTGTTTTAATCTTTTTCTATACAACCATCTCAATTCATTTATCTTCCTATTATGAAATTATATCAGGTTGTAATTTACTCTCCTGCTAGAACTGCATCCCAGCAAGGATCAGGCAAGGTTGGCAAGTGGAAAATCAATTTTATGTCAACGCAAAAGTATGAACCTTCTTTTCTTTCTTTTTCCTGAGTTTTATTTTTTAAAAAATCGGAAATTGTTGCTTCATTAGTTAACAGAAATTTGAACTTAGTTCTAGGAGATTCCTAGGTGCTTGAGCAAAATATTGTGCACAACATGTTTTACTGCGTAAACTTCAAGTGCCTAAAAGTTAATGATCCTTGTTCTCGTACTTTCAACAGTTGGGAGTTTTTCCCCTTATAATTTTTGTCTTTTTTTTTTTTTTTTTTACTTTTGTTGCTCTGCTCAGGCATTTCTTTTCCGTATTGCCTGTGTGTAATATTTCATTTATTTTCATAAAAGTTCGGTTTCTCATTTGAAAAAAGGAAAATACACAAACAGAAGGGTAAATAGTTTTTCTATGCTTATTGACATGTTTGTAGGTGGGAAAACCCATTGATGGGGTGGACTTCTACTGGGGACCCTTACGCCAACGTAGGGGATTCGGCACTGTCTTTTGATAGTGAGGAAGCTGCAAAGGAATTTGCTGACAAACATGGATGGGAATATGTGGTAATGCTTCGTTTAACCATTTAGAAAGGGAAAAAAATATATATAAATATATTCTTGTAATTTCTTTTTGTAGTTTGAGTTGTCATATCTTAGGTTAGTTATTAACTATGTTATTTTTCCACTGTCAGCTGCCTCCAAATATGTAACAATTATAGTTGGTGGTGTTGGTTAATTGTCCATATATTCTAATATATTCTTTTTACCATAGATCTTCGCTTTTCCACAAGGTTAAAATAATGCGTTCTAATTCTAAATAAATATAACTAAAATTAAATTGCCCTTGGACATGGTTGTTTAATATGTTTCTTCAGAATAACAAATGTGTTTCACGATTTCTGCATTTGGGCTATGATATGGCGTTTGACTCTGAATGTAAGATTTTACTTTTGAAGACAGTGGAAATGAATTCTGTTTTTTAACATCCTAGTATTAGTTTAAAGCTAAAAATTCAGAAATTTCGAGAGGAGAAATGCCAATTTTTCTTCCAAATTTGGTCCATTAGATGCAGAGAGTTTATTTTCCTTATTTAGCATTCGGTTGACATTGCATTACAATTTTATCATCATCGAATTCTGGAGAGTGGACTCTTAAAGGACTTCTTTTTCTTTTTAATTGCTTCCTTCATGTTCAGATTTAGGGATCACTTTTCTGGCCTGCATATAATTATGAGGTTACATTGAGACAATCCCCAAACTGAGGGTTAATTTCTAATTCATTCGTTGATTTTTTGTTTTTTTTCTCTCTCTCCTTTTTGTAGGTTAAGAAGCGCCACACACCACTTTTGAAGGTTTGAGATTCTTTCCCATTATTTTAACTTCGTTGAGCTTGTATTTTGTCTATACTTCTGTGAATGTAATTTGGGAGAAGAGGGGGAGGGGGGAGGAGTGGTTTGCTGGCCCTCCATAGTGTTCACACTGAACCGTAGATTGATTCGTCCCTTGAGCTCTCTGGCAGTTGTGCAAACTTCCAACTATTTTCTTGGAATGATCCTCGTGTCAAATTTCATTCTTTTATCTTATGCAACTTCTTTCATAATCTTTTAGAGTTCTGCTGGCATTTTATTGTATCCTCCGGTTTTTGTGGCCTTCAGGGCATTTGGTATGGGAATTATAAATCTTTTTTGCAATCTAGAGTCTTCTTGTGGCTAGTTTAGGGGAGCTCAGTGTCAGTTTCCAATTGGTACCAGTAGTTATTTCTTAGTATATGCTAATTCTTTCCTAGATGACTTTATATCAGTTCTCATTGTTACGACTGGAGTAGTTTAGATGCCCTACCAGCTCAGATTTCCTTTTAGATAGATGAGGAGAAGGAGGATGAAGATCTTGCTATTGGTTTGAAAGTTAATCATGTTAACATTCCAGTAATGAAGGGATTTTGATGCTGCTTTGTTTCTTAATGTCATCTAACCCTTGGATGTCTTTAGTTCACCGGGATAACCCAAAATAAAGAAACAGAAACTTATAACCCTCTGTTTTGACTGCTGCAGGTGAAGGCATATGCGGACAATTTCAAGTGGAAGGGCCATCCTGAAGCCAAGGAGGCTTAAACTTATTCTTCACTCTTTCTCGTCTAGTTGGAGGCGGAACAGACTGGAGGGTTTGTGTAGTTCATTTCGTTGCTTATTTTTGAGGAAGTTGGTTATAATAAGCGGGAACGGTGATGTTTACTCACTTGACCTTGTAACTTTTGTTCTCTTTACGTTACCATTACAGAACATCGAATGAAGTTCGTATGCATTTAAACCAGTGGTTTTTAACTTGTGGAACCCTTTTGACTTCTTCACTATTTATATACGAAACAATTGCCAAACGAAGTAGAAATACAACCTTGGTGTCTCATGAATATACACTGCATAGCACTGTATTGATATGAAGCAGACGATCAAAATTATAGTGTGACTTGTAATCGACTTCATTTTAGCAGAACAGATACAGATCTTCTCGAACGAATATGAACGAGGACCCACAAGGTTGAACGACATGATGACCGACATGGATACAGTATAAAACAAGAACCGGGTAGCCAAGAGGAAGTTTTGCGTTCTTATGATCAGGACATATTTCAATGCTCAATCAAGCCTCAACCCAATGCCCTATCGACACTACCAATCCGGTTCCTATCTGGCAATAGCTTCTTCATGTAGTACTTGGATTTCCGGGATAGATTTATCCTTCTTCTCCTCTTTTCAGGTATTGATTCAAATGAACATTCTGAGAAACCACGCCTCACAAACCTGTTATACACAACTGGAGCATCATTTCCTTCCATTCACAAAATCAACTAAATTATGATAGAAAGCTATAACCACGGAGATATTTCACTATGTAAGATGTTGCAGGGGAAGACATGCAATAAAATTAGGCAAGATAGCAAACAAACCAGTCTGCAGTTCGTGTTGTCAGCAGAAAAAGCCTATCCAGTCCTAGGGAGGCGGCCTTCTTTTCCATGTAATCTGCAATTCAGTAAGCAAAATTACGTATCAGCTGATGGAAACAGCAAGGCACCCAGATCACCTGACTCGGCTAGTAAGAATCTCATGGGTTTCTTTTTTTTACCAACCATGACCTAATGAGCTAAACAGGATTCATTCCTTTCATAAAGTAAGTGATAAAGCCATTCATTATCATACCAAGCAATTTGTCGCCTTGCCCTTGTCCTCGGCACTCTGCAGAAACTGCAATGGCAGCAATCTCTCCACATCTCTCTTCAAAGAAAGGGAAAAGAGCAGCACATGCAATGATTTGACCTTCTCTCTCAACGACCACAAACGAGTCTAATGATTCAAGTAGCTGCAATAACAAAACAGAATACTCAAAACATTGCATTTAAGCTCCATAGGAAAACAAAATATCAATAGCCACAAACTTGGGATAACTTATTGGGCAGTGGTTCATTCAGGAAACTGGAAAGGATGGAAGTTGGAATACAGACCTCTTCATCAGTTCTCGGAACCAAGGTACCAGCCATTTCTAAAGGTTGTATAATTTGTCTAATTCCACGAAGATCAGACACGCTGGCCATTCGTGTTCCCTCGTAAAGATCACTTGAAACAAAAAGTTCATTGTTCATATCAGTTAATGGATAAAAAATGGCCTACGAATCGCTTTTAGTCTTCTTAAATTGAATCGCTCCGTCCCGTTGGGTAACCATTTGGATTTAGTTCTTAGTTTTTTAACATTAAACTTTTAAAAAACAACCAAGATAGTCAAGTATATCCATTGTTTGAGTTGAATTTCAATAATATAACTTTGAGAAAAAGATATAAAAAAGAGAGACTTGCCTGGCTACCATAGTGCCCATTCCATCTCTTTTAAACAATTCCAGCAATAAAACTCCTCCAATAGTGCCATCTAGCAAATGCACTCTTTGAACACCACCCTAAAAGTATTACAAAAAATTCAATTAAGCCCATTTCAGAACAATCATCAACATGAACTGAAAATAGTTCATTCAACAATGATCTGGATAATTCTGCTAATTTTCCAAGAACTGAACAGCTACTGAGCCACAGGTAACGATAACCAAGGAATTTTCTTAGGGAGGGGACAAATTTTGCATTCTAACTTTTATATATATAATCTTTCAGTTCTAAAATTTAGGGGGCGAACTAGAGGAAATCAACAAAACCTACAAAATCTCAAGTGTTTTATACATAACTTTTGATGGCAGGCCTGGATTCATTGAAACACATGATTATGCATTGTTTCTTGTTCCTGAAATGGACATGTGTGTGTGTGGGAGAAAGATGAAGACAGTTCATGTGAAGCATAAATTTAAGGCAATAAAAGAACAAAGGAAAGACCAGAGACACCATGTAGGAACATGTTCAGATTTAGTAACGGGTAGTATGAAGGATTTACCCGGCAAACGAAAGCTGCAGCAGCCAATTCTGAGAGGTAACCATTCAAATGGCTATTCCGCTCACCTCCAATGGGAAAACCCTGTTCGGAGGACCAAAGCCCGCTCCCATGACCAAAACCAACTCCATTTTGGAATACTGGGACGTGATGGGAGCCAAAACCTACTCCGTTCGGGAACGTTGGAGTATGATGGATACCCCCGTTTGAATCGTCATTTATATAATGATTTGAATGAGTGAAACCTTCCTTGCCAACAACTTTCACATAATTTGCAGCTATCTCACACTGCTTAGCCCTTTCACGAATCAACTTGTCTGCTTCTTGAAGAGTGAGAAAACTGATATGGCGTCCAGTTTCATCAAGAATAGGACCATCAATAATGCATATGAGCTTGTCAGCTCCAATAGCCAAGGCGCATGCTGTTGCAACCTCATATGTACTGAAATCCAGACAACAAAATCATCAGTAATGGCTCTTCCTCTTAGTGATTTCAACTAAATATCCATCCCTTTAATATAAGCACTACATTTATAGAAATAAAAAACATATTAGGACTATCAAGCCTCATTGCATACTTGCAATTCAGAACTTCTCCAGAACTAGAATAACCAAGGTTGCTCAATATAACTATACAACCACCATCAAGCCTCTCGCGCATACGAGCTACGTCTACTTTCTTAACTTCACCCGTTGCTCCATAATCAACACCATCAACAACTCCCCTTCTCTGCAAAAGGAGTAGCGTCTTATTCAACGAATTTACAGTAAACTAATATCACAGATCATCACAGAAATATCATATGGCGTTTCATCCCAAATACCACATTAACAAAACAAAAAGATTTGTACCTTAGCAGCAAGAAAGTTGCCACTAACAACGCTTACACCAACTTCATGCCATCGTCTACTGTCACCATGTCTACGAATATTGCAGATAGAAGGTCCGGGAGAAAGCTTTGCCTCTATCATCACACGGATCCCTCCAGCTGCTTCCATTGCAGCTGCTAGAGATTGGTTGTCAGTCACCCTATATTGACCGACAAAATTCGGCTTGCTTCCTGTAATGGGTACAGACAATTGAAAGTTAAAAAAAAGGACAACATTGAGAAAAGGAAAACTATAAACAGAACAAATTCTTGTTCTGGTATACTAAAAGAATAATAATAAAGTGACCCACGTCCTTGGTTTCAACAATATTGCATATAATATATAAAAACATCAAGTTACAAACCTCTCTCTGCCAAAAGTTTGTCAATTAAAACGTGGGTTCCTGGAACAAGAATGAACCTGATTCCAAGGTGATGTAGAAACGCAATATCCTGCACATACAAATGGCTTCAATGTGATAACTGAAGCCAAAACCAAAACTAAAGAAATACATCATAGAACAAGATGGGTTTTATCAATATAAACATGGGAACAGACAGATTAAAGAGACGACTATAAGACCTGCCTTTAGAATAAGATCTAAGTTAGAGCTAGATACAATTTCCCCAGAAATCATCACAACGAAAGTGCCTCCTCTATGTGCCCATAAGTAAGGCCAAGCCTCCCTAAACCACCGCACAAACTGCTTATCCTCTATGGAGTTATAATCCTCTTCCTCTTCCTCTACGTCCACAGCGCCATTTCCGTAGTTGAATAGAATGAATTTTCTCGACTTTTCCCCAACTTTCTTCAGTCCCTTGCCCCACAATTCTGCTCTATCGAATTTAAACTTTGCCTTCCCATTTCTTAGACAACGGGTACAAGGGAGGTCGTTCGAAGGAAACTCTCGCCGAGTCTGTAAAAGTAGCCGAGAGCTTGAGAGAGTGGTAGCCATGGCAGACGAAGCGAGAAAAGAGAGTGACAACAAAGAAATGTGGAGGTTATAAGTCATAGACAAGCCGCCAACTACTGCCGAGAGAAGGGTCGTAGGATTTTGGGCCCTTTGGGCAATCAAGCTCCTTGCTTTTCCAAATGGGCTGAGTCCAATTTTTTTGGGCTAGTAGCTATCGCGATATCAGATTGTTTGGAGCCATTGAAAAGAGAAGAGCAGCAGCCATTGGAAGAGAACAAGAAGCAATTAAAAAAGCAGACGCGACCAAAAGAAAATGTCGTGAAAGCTTTAGTTGTACAGATGACCTTTGTCGCTCGCTGTTTTCTAACATTATTTAAAGCCCCTCAAGCAACGAAGAGACGAAGACGCAAGAATCAAGATAAGAGAGTAACAAAACAAAACCCTGTCTCTATCTATCGACACTCCACTTGTAAAAGCACTTCTATTCTGATGTAGCCCTTCAAAGCGCTTCCACTTCACAATACTTCCAAAATCGGATTTTCAAGAAACCAAAAACATAAAAGGTAACGAACTCCAAAGCTTTTACTTTCTGAGTTTAAAATAATTAAACAAAAAGAAACTTTTTTTGTGGCGATGTAAACAAGGGTGTCTACTCGATGATTTCTCTATCTCGGTTAAGTCCCCAAGCAACTAAAACTAAGACAAAGACTACAGTGCATAATCATCCACCATTGACAGAGAATTGAAAGTAACTTCTTTTTTTTTTCAGGAAAGGAGGAAGAGAGACCTTGAGCAAGGCATGGAGGCGAGGACTAGCCACAATTTCGGCAGATATAACGACGACAAAAGTACGGCCTATATGGGAGAATATATAGGGATAAGCATCTCTGAATTCTTCAATAAACCTCCTATCTTCTTCAGGAATTTTATCATACGCATCATTTTTAGCCTCCCCCCGTTTGCCGCCTCTCACCGCCGCCAATCCCCAGTTCCATTTTCTTCTCCCACTCTCATGGCATGTCGGATCCTGAACTGTCCGCCGCAAATAATTCTCTCTGCACCCACGCTCCACACCCACCGCCTTAAAATCAGACCAATTTTTCCAGTAATTACTCTTCGGAAAAACCCACGTCCTCGATGTGGGAGTAGCCATCGCCACCACCACCGCCACCGCCACCGTCACCGCCACCGCCGCCGCCGCCGCTTTTATGGAAATGAAACAGAACCTTAAAAAAAGGGACTTTATTTAGAACTGTATTAGGAAATTGAGTCAGAGGAGAGGAAGAAGAACGGCGAACGCGGCGAAACGGTGGGGGAGAAAAGAATCAGCCGACAAGAGTATAAAATTTTTGGGGAATATTCTGTGACAATAAAATAGAAGAACAGAGAAGGGGTAGGTGAAGTTCAATTTTGAGCCGATTCTTTTATTTTTATATAACAATTCATCGATGGCAAATGAGAAGGTAATGACTGATGACCTCTGCATTCATTGGACGATAATTATTTATTTAAATAAATAAATAAAAAGAAAAACAGACCAACCACTGTGAATCCAGGTCAAAGGACACGTGGAAAAATGATTATTTTTTCTTTTTTTCTTTTTATTGTGAAATGACAAAGTAAGGCCAATTCGAGAAATACGATGAAAGCCCAATGGGCCATTTAATACACACGCTAAAATGCAAGATTGAAGCCCAATTCTCATTCTATTGGATATTGGGCTTGTAAACATCATCAATTCGGCATAGGCCCAAATTATGACCAAAGCGATTTATTTAGTTATTTATTTATTTTAGTGGCGAGTTGAGGCAAAACTTAAAGACCCAATGATGTAGAAATTTGGACTTCATATTTCTTTTTAGGCAGCAAAAGCGAATTGGTTATTTTCCCAGAAAAAGATGGAAGAAGAGGAAAGTACCGAAAGCCACGCCAAACAATACCCACCCCACCTCCCAAAATTTGATTATTATTGCTCAAAATAATGCAATAATAAGACAGCCAAGCCAAACCAAAAAGTGGGGTACGTTTTTGAAAGACCGTGGGAATCCAATCAAAGCAGCCCATGTCCCATACGTTCAAACAAATCTTTGAACCCACAGAAAGGTAACAAAAAAATGCCTAAAAGAGTTTGAAGAACAGTGATTGAGGAAGTATATAATATGATCTCCGGCATAATTTACATTAAAGAAAAGTCATGGAACCATCTTAGACTAATTAAGTTGGGTGCAGAGTTTAGATGGAAAGAACTTAATAATGCTGCAAATACAGAGAGATGGCATATAAACGTATAAAGATAGAGATGGGGTTAATTAATTCCAAATTCTGCAATGCTCTGTAAAGCTGGCCTCCATTGACATCCACCCCCGTAATGCTTTCCCATACTTCTCTGTCCTCCTCCGCCTCCGCCTCCGCTGCTGCCGGCATTGCTGCTTTCCAGGCGACGCTCCGGCTGACCATATTAAAAAAGAATTATGTTAGCATCATGGTTTGATTAGAACCCAGTGATGAAAAAGTTGGAATGATCACGTTCATTTGAAGATATTGGTTTATGTAAACTTTATGATTATGATGAAAGCAAAGGTAGATTTTTGTTATTAAAATCTAATTAAATATTATAAAATTGAAGACCTCTGCACTCTACAGACAACTCTACTTCAATTCCTGACAAGATTGATGAAGTGATGCACAAAAAGGGTTTGTCTCGATATGCGTGGCCTGTAATTTCAAACCAATTTCAGAAAAACAACTTTTTGTTTTTTTCTCTTCATTTTTGGGTTTTAATCACACTGTAATCATGAAAACCAAATCCATTAATTTTCCCATCCATGTTCTTGATTGTTTTTGGATTCGGAGCATGATTATGGGTTATGGGTATTTGATTACCTTCCTATGATTTTGGGATGAATTTGAAGCAGAATCCGAGGGCTTGATCTTCATCCCCACCGACAGGGCTCCTCCCTCTCTCAGCAACTTCCCTAATTTCACACATTTCTTAGCAGCAAACTCCTTCAGCACATCTGAATGGGAAAAAATAATAAGCTTCGAAAACTGTATAAAAAAATTAAAAAATTTAGAAAAGAGTGTATAAAATTTACAAGAAAAAAGTAAAAAAAACCTTCGAATGAGATGAGACGATAGACATGGCCGATGAGAAGAGTGTCATCGGGACGGAGTAGCTTGAGCTGCTTGATTGGGTTTCCATTTTGGGAGTTGAAAGTGGAGGAGGTGAGGAGGAGAGCAACGTAGTGGCCGGGGTTGGAGTTCATGACCTCGTGTGCACTTACGGACCAATAAATCCTCTCGATCTTGTGATTCCCAGGATGGTGGATGACCACGGTGGCCGCTTCCGCCGCCTGACAGTTCCCCATCCGGTTATGAACTCAACAATTCCAAGTGCTTGGTTTTTGAAGGAGGGAGAGGGTAGCAGACCATAAACTTGAGTAAATGAGTCTGACGCTCTCGAAGACGCACGTCAAGAATCTCCCCTCTCAACAAATGACGTGCGTTTCCCAGATCACCCAAAACCATTTTTTTAATTTAAAAGAATGTAATGAAGTTGGTGAGTTGGGTAATGGGTACTCATAATGGGTACTCATAATGGGTACTCATAATGGGTACTCACAATGGGTACTCACAATGGGTACTCACAATGGGATCAGAAGGAACGTAATATTGGACTACCAACTCAAACCTCTATCTGCTCGAAACGTGTAAGATCTGCAAAACCCAACTGGGTCCCCCTTCCTCTATTATATATTTATATTTATATTTATATATTTTCTAATCATTTGAGTATATATATTAAACCACCCGATTTTTAAAATTATTTGATTAATGGGCCTGGGAAATGAATGCGGGCCGGGGGCATTTAAAATTGGGCTTTATCAGTCGAGATTTCCATGTACAGCCCAGTTATGAAAATCTTTTACTCGTAATTACTGTAATTAATTATAAAATAAATGGTAGTTTAGATAGGGAGGCAGGGTTTGAAATTCGAATATTAAATCCACTTGGGTATTATCGATTTGGATTTATGGCTATTAAAAAGTTAATCAATAATTTAAACATAACTCAGTTCTTCAAATCTAAACAAAGCTTTGCGGTTTGAGGTTGCGCCACCAAATATTGATCTTGGCATCTTCGCATCTACGCATCTTGACAACGAATCTCCCTCCCTCTCTCTTTCTCTCCTCGTGGGGGTCTCCAACATTGGGATTTCTTCGTCATTTAGTGGTTAGATTTTTTTTTTTTTAATCCCTTTTTAATGCAATTCTTTTGCTTTCTAACTCGATCGTCCGCGATTTTTCTCGACTCCCCTTCTTCTTCTTCTTCTTCTTCTTCTTCTTCTTCTTCTCCTAATTGCAGGTTTCAGTCCGCTAATTTTGATTGTTTTCCCTTGCTGCTGCTGGAGTGTGGACGAGGGTTTGCTTCTAAGCCTCTCTATTCTTCTGGGATTCTTCCAATTCTAGGTTTTTTTTTTTTTTTTTTCTTTTTGTTTTTGCTTATTCTGGGGCGTTACTTTCTTCTTCAATTCTCAATGTCCTGAACGTGTTTTTGGTCTCTGAATTTACCTCTGAGTTTGGTTTTTGGAAGAAGAGGAAATGTGAATGGTATTTTCTAAAAATTGATTTCAATACTTAAAACCAATCGATCATTAGGGGAAATAAGAAGATTATGATCTGGGTTGAGACAATTTTCAATTGTTTCTTGTTTTGAAATTGATCGGGTTGAGGAAGAATAGAACGGTTGAAGTTGATAGCGCGTTGTTCAATTGGTTGAGCAGGGAATGGATGCGTTCGATGAAATGACTGAGAAATTTAAAACTAGTGCTGAAACGACGGAGTGCCATCAAAGGTATCGTTGGAAGGAGGGAAAGGGGAAAAGACTTTGGAAGAAGGTGAAGTATCAGCTGGTTGAGTACAATGCTTTACCAGCTTACTTGAGGGACAACGAATTCATTCTGGGTCATTACCGTGCTGATTGGCCTATGAAGCAGACACTGCTCAGCATCTTTTCCATTCACAACGAGACTCTTAATGTTTGGACGTAAGCCTTAAGACTGATATTTAATGCTTAGCATCAGATTTTGCAATGAAGTTTGCCTAAGACTTATATTTTCTTCTTTACTGTATGTTTCTTTTGAATACTGTATGTTTCTTTTGAATACTGTATGTTTCAGGCATTTACTTGGATTTTTCCTCTTTCTTTCCCTCACCATATACACTGCAACAAAGATTCCTGACGTTGTTGACATTCATCCTCTTCAACATTTGCCTGACGTGTTTAAAAAAGCTGATATGCACAAATTGCAAGCGGAACTGCTGTCCTGCCTTCCTTCCTTGCCTCACTTCCCTGATCTGCAGAAACTCAGGGAGGAGTTGAAGACTGCATTGACTTCAATGGATATGCTTTCATCACTGTCTCGTTGGCATGTTGTGGAACTTCTATACAATTGTTTACCTCAGCGGTTCTCCCATGGAAATCAAACTGATGTCTGTGCTCTGGTAAGCTATATGCTCAAATCTAATCTTGGGATTTCCAGGCCATTCTTATTACATTCTATGAAT